TTTTCAATACAAATCTCTCAAAAGACGTTTGAACAGGTCGGTTAAAAAGACACCAAATAAATAAAAACGGATCAAACTACTACAGCGCCATCTTCCTTAGAGTCTGAACTAAGTCCTCCATTGGTAAAAATTTTTTTATTTGCAATTTAAAATAGTGAAAATTAAATAAAACTAAAATGGGTAGACTCGCCCCTGGATGGGTAGACTCGCCCCGGTTTACGGTAACCTAAACAGATATATACGTGTTGTGACTATTAAAAAAAGTCGTATTGGTAATTGCCAACGCAAGATATTAAGAAAAAAATGACCTGAAGCAAAATGCTTTGAATTTTGCTTCAGGCATGCCAAATGCATTTGAATTTATTGCAATTAAACTATGCTATACTTAATTAAAAGTTAATTTCAAATTTCTATATTTTCAAATTAATGAAAAAATAACTGAATACAATAACTTTAAAATTAAACGTATTTTTTTTTAAAAAAAATTATCTAAAAATGTTATGATAAGATATTATAATTATAATTATTAAAAAAATATTTCATATTTTTATGAATTGCTAACGCAAGATATTAAGAAAAAAAAGGTATAAAGCAGAATGTTATTTTTCCAAAATATATTATCAAAGATAAAGTAAAAAAAAAAGTTGAAAAGTCTACAAAAAGTTAATCAACTTATCAACCACAATGTTTCGTGCAAAAGGTTTCTGCTACTTCCACTAAAAATGCAAATGCATTGTGTTCAATGCCAAACTAAATTCCTCGGAATTAAAAAGAAAAGAAAAAAAAAAACAGCTATGAATTTTAAAGAAAAGAGCAATTTCTAAAATCATATCTCCCCCCCCCCTTCCAAAAAAAAAAACTTTTATTTCTGGGAATAAATCGGATTTTTTCCCACCCACGTAATAAATTCAAAAAATATTACAATGGATAAATTGCTCGTTTTTTAGAGCAAAAATGGGGAATAAAATTCGTTTCTTAAACTCCAACAACTTCCAAACACATTGGAATTTCGAATAAATGAAAAGAATCCATTCACCTCGTCACATACGTCACATTTCAACTTCGTAGTAACATTTCAGACAGTTGTAGATCGGACCGCATGATATACCTTTTACTTAACAGTTGATAATTCTCGAGATATATATCAAATCTAAAATTTATTTTGCATAATGGTACATTTTTCTATACATCTTCATAATATTAAGTTTCCAAGTTCTAAATAGTTTTTGAGATATCCCTTTTTATAAAAACATAGTTTTGTGACTAAAATGCTGTCAAAGATAATAACAGAGTATTATTGCCATTGTCTTAAATACTAGAATTTTATGAAGTCCTTGAAATATTATTATCAACAGTAGAAAATCGGGCCTGAATATTTCAATTAATTTCTCAAAAAGGGAGTATGAATAATTTTTTGACGAAATTTGTAGTTCCATACGAATGCCTTAAATCCTCGCTGATTTAAGCTTTAATAAAAATAGTTTATCGCAAACTGTAAGACATTAAAATAAAAGCTCATCATAAAACTATCCATAGTTCAACTGAAATATATCTACATTAGTTTTAAATAATATTTCAAATAGTATGATTTCTCAACAATCACAATTAAATTACTTACATTTAAAGCATTTTTTGTTGCTCTTAAATTTTGCTGAAAATAGCTTTCTTCAACTTATTTATTGTATACGGGGGAAAAAATGAAACTTCACGGGGATGAAAAGTTTATTAAAAACATATAATGCTTGAATAAAATTTTGCTTTATACAAGCCCGAAATTTATAGATGAATTTTCAATAAGCAATTTCTTCTGTTTCGAAATTTATTTTAAACGTCTGAATCAATGAATTTACAAGAAATATAAACAACTTCTTTTGAATCTCATAGATGACACTACCAACAGATCTAGACCAATGGGAATAGATGTTGCTACATTTTGACATTTCTGTATATATATTCCTGCTTGTAATTAGTTATAAAATAAAATATATAAAGAATTAGAATAACATCTATTGTTGTTTTAAGTATGAATAGTAAAGAAATGAATTCATTGTAAATTTATTGATCTCAACTATTAAATTGCAGAAATATTAGTGAGGGTCATTTAAATTTTGTATGGTGGTGGCACCTAGTGGTTATAACCGAACCTATGATATAAGGGATATTTCGTGCAAAATTGTTTTCTACATTTAAGTGTCAACTTCCGATTTTTTATGACCTATAAAAAATATTTATAACATGAGAACAGTTTTGTTTGTTTAACTCTTTGATTGTTTTGGGAGCACTGGACATGATGAAAGAATAAATAAATAAAATCACGCGATCCTCAAAAAAATGGCAATCCAGATATCTACCTATCATTAGCGAAAAATGTTTTAAAGGTATCGTGATATTAACCGGATAAATATTAATTTATATAGTTGGTGGACTGGATAAAATTTAAAACCCTGAAATAGTAAAA